TCAGTCAGCGCGAGGGAGTTGACTTCTTTCAGACCTTCGCGCCTACCCCGAAGATGACCACTCTTCGGGTGTTACTGCGCGTAGCAGCACAGAGAGACAACGAGCTACACTCTCTCAACTTCTCCACTGCCTTCCTTCAGGGTAGCCTACACGAGGAGGTCTGGTTGCGTCGTCCCTCTGCTTTCACTGGCACTTTCCCTCCTGGGACCCAGTGGAGGCTGACGTGAGCGGCACGACACCCTTCGTTCTACCCTGTCTGACCTTAGTTTCAGCCGTCTTCTGCCGACCCGTCGCTGTTTGTTCGTCGTGGCTCCACACCGTTCTTCGTACTGGTCTATGTTGACGACCTGGTTTTTGCCACTGCTGACAGGGTTGCTTTGGCTGACGTGAAGCGCGGACTGCACAAGAGACACACGTGCACTGACCTTGGTGAGTTGCGCCACTACCTTGGCCTGCAGATCACCAGGGACAAAGCCGCTCGCACCATTACACTCTCACAGTCACACATGGTGCAGCAGGTCCTTCAGCGGTTCGAGATTCAGCACTCCACAGTACAGCGCACACCTCTTGCTGTTGACCACAAACTCAATGGACCCTTTCCTGACGAGCCGTTTGAGCCTAGTGGTCCCTACGCAGAGCTTGTGGGCTGCCTCATGTACCTGATGACTTGTACTCGCGCGGACCTCGCCTTCCCTCTCAGCATAATTGCTTGCTTTGTTGCGCCAGGGAGACACCGTCCAGTTCACTGGACAGCTGCTGTGAGGGTGGCGAAGTACCTAGCGACGACATCAGGCGTGGGGCTGGTTCTTGGAGGGAGACAGTCTGTCGTACTTACTGGACATTGTGACTCTTCTTACGCTGACGACGCCGAGACTCACAGGTCTACTCCGGGGTACTGCTTCAGCCTGGGCTCTGGAGCTGTTTCGTGGAGGTCCACGCGTTCCTCCTCGGTCTCGACCTCTACCGCTGAGGCTGATATCTACGCTGGAGCCATGGCTGCACAGGAGCTGCGTTGGTTGACTTTCTTGCTCACCGACCTTGGTGAGCGCTGCACCAACCTTGTTCACTGACAACAAGGCGTCGATTCTCCTCTGTCGAGAGCCGCGACTGGAGAGCAGAGTGAAGCACATCAATGTCAGGTACTTTCTTCTGCGAGAGTTGCAAAGGCGTGGACAGGCTCGCTTCGACTTTGTAGAGTCCGAGGCCAACACTGCAGACATCTTCACCAAGGCCATTTCGCCTTGTGACCACCAGAGGTGTTGTGTGCAGTTAGGTCTCGTTGACACAGGTTCTCGCCTTGCGTAGTCTTGAGTTCTCTACTTGATTTGTTTGTACGCTTTATATATACCTCTGTGAACTCTTGAACTGGCCTTGTGGCTCTTTTGCTTGTGCTCAGAGTGTGTGGTGACATTGTGATCCACCCTGAGCTTTGTTGCTTTATGACTGGTCTTGTGACCGTACGTTGTTGGTTTTGCTTGACACCCCTCACTTAGGCTATGGGTGTGTCAAATGTTATAGTCTTAGTGATGTGTGTCATATGGGGTACAACAGTTAGGGTTAGGTTTATGTACCCCAACCAAGCTTAGTGAAATCACCATTCCGTTCTTGACACTCCCTCCCCCTCCCCCCCCCCTTCCTCCCTCTCTCCTCCTCCCTAGCTGCCCTGTCGCGGCCTCGTCCCGGCCCCGCCGCCGCGTCTGCAGCTGCTGCCCGCCACCCCTGCAGCTCCTGCCCGCCGCCAGGCCTGCTGCTGCTCGACGGCACCGCGCCGGCCGTTACTACCCGCCGCCGTGTCTGCTGCTTCTTGACGTCGCCGCGCCTGCCGGTGATGGCCGCCGCCGCGTCTGCACCTGTTGTCTGCTGCCGCACCTGGAGCTACTACCAGCCGCCGCACCTCCTGCTGCTTGACATCGTTGCGCCTGCTGCTGCTGCTGCTGCCCGTCTCCGCTCATGCTGCTGCTGTACATAGCCGCGCCTGCTGCTGCTGCACACCGCCGCGTCTGCATCTGCTGCCCACCGCTGCGCCTGCTGCTGCTTGACGTCGCCGCGCATGCAACCGCGACAATGCTACCGCCCTTCCGCGAACGCATCGCTACGCCGCTTGTTGTGTCACCCGCTGTCTGCATGCCTGCATCTGACCGTCTCCTCCTCCGCCTATGGCTGTCCCTCTCATCCACTGCAGCTTTGCCCCTGCTCACTCCTGTCATGGCGTCTGGTTTCGTCATGCAGCCCGATGCGAAGAGGCGGGCTCGACTTTGACGCTCGGCTGCTCGACGTTAAGCTCCACATGTGGAGCCAGCGCCAGGACGACGTCTCTCTGTACGGCCACGCGTCGAGTGAGCTACCTCGCCCTCAGTGTCCTACTGCTTTTGCCACTTAGCCCATGTTGGAGGAGCAGGAGGCTTACCGCATGGCCCCGCTTGCGGGTTTAGGGTTGCGTAACGATGCTTTTGTCCTTGCGCTTAGTCGGTTCCTGCCGCTGGCAAAGCAAGCGCACTTTCGCCAGGTCGAGACGGCGAAGGCGTGTCTTGATGATATGGTTGCTCGCTACTCCACCCCCTCCTCTGCTATTATGGGGCACCTACTCGTGCCCTTTTTCTTTCTTGATCTCTCTGCTTTCTCCACTGTTGCTGAACTATCTACCCACATGCGCTCGCTTGACATTAGCTTCCGCGCTGCTTGCACCACTGACGACCTTGCTGACCCCCCCCCCCCCCCCCATGTATGCCACCTTGCCCTTTCTATCGGCTCGCCTCCCTCTTGTCCGCGTCACCCTCCTTGCCATGCATCTCATGCTTCTGACTATCGATATCATTGAGACTCGTCGCCTCCGCACCATCGCTTCCACCACTAGTGTGTTAGCCCCCCCCCCCCCCCCATCTTTGAGAGGTACGCTCCGCCCTAGTTCCCTACCCCAGCTGTCTCTGCTGCTGTTCCTGAGCCTACAGTCACAACGGAGGTCACTGCCTTCTTTGCCCCCTCTGATGGGCGGGGACGGCATAGGGGTGGTCGTGGTCGTGGAGGAGGTGGAGGTGCTGGTACGTTGGGGGGTGTACGTATGTATAATGGTACTGACTCTTCTTCTGTTGTCGTCTTCGCATTTGCCGCAGCCACCGGAGCCGGTCGTTGTGGACTCGGGAGGTGCTGCCGCTGTGCATGTTGGTTCTTTGGGAGCTGCCGTTGTGGGTGCCGGCTCTCGGGGTGCTGGTTCTGGGGTTGCTGACGTTCGGAGTGCTAGTTTAGGGTGTGATGCCACATGAGGTACTGGTACTTGGGGTGTCGCGGGCGTTGGACGTCCGGCGCCGCAACATCTACAGCCGTTGCCGCAGCATCAGCAGCCGTTGTTGCCGCCGCCGCCTGTCTTTGATCTTCCCCTTCTTGGTCTATCTTCTGGCTTGACTGACCGACCACATGCTCCTCCCACACCGTCTCTCCCAGTCAATGGTTCCACGTTTCCTCCCCAGGTCTAGTCTTCCGCTCGTTTTCCGCGTTGTCTTCTCCTTTGTCCGCTCATCCCTCCCACTACTGGGTTCGTCGTCCCTCTCGTGCTCGCTCCGTGTCTCCTCTTCCTAGTGTCCACCCTATGCTCCTCCGTTCCCGCGTTTCTCGTGCTTCGCATCCCTCTTTTCACCTGTCGCCTCCTACGTATTCCTTTGCTGTGTCCTCTACTCTGTTCTCTGTTTTTCTTCTGACCACTCGCCCTACGGTCTCCCATGTCCTTTCCTCCCTCGCCCCACCGCTCTTGTCGCTGACTTTGCCTCCACCCGCCTTGACGACGCCATTCAGTTGGTCTCTGCTCATTCCTCTCCTCCATCCGTCGGGGGTGCTCCTTCCCTTGAGAGTGACCTCCTAGAGGACAGGTAGTACGAGCCGGCTTTTCGTGCGGTCGCTGCTCCTCATCTCTATGCCATGCTCCTAGTCCCTGAGGGTAGCCCAGACGCTGTTGACATTCCGATCCTCACACCTACACTTAGATATTCTCGGGACCCTAGGCCTCTCAGTGGATAGCAACCATGGACGTAGAGTTGTTGCATGTAAAATTATAATGGACACCTGGGCTTGCTGCAAAGCCACCCGAATGGCAGCCCCAAGTTATTTTTGCAAGTACCACTCCCTGCCCCTTTGTCACATCGCTACCTGCGGCTTATGTCGCCCTGATCCTTAAACCACTGCCCGTAGCTCCCTCCCGAGCAACCCCAGGGTTCTGCGTTGAGGGAAGTGAGTTGCACTCCCCTATGTTGCTCCAAGAGGGATTTGTAATCCGTCACTTTCTGCTTTTCTTTCTCATTGGCGGCAAAACCCACCTTGCGACCAATCTGCCCATGATGTTGCGCAGGCTGAGAGATGTCAACAACGCTTACCTCAAGCACATGCCCTTCCTCCTCTCTCGGTCTCTGAACCACCACATTCATTTTCTTCTTCAGAAAGTGAATCGTCATCTACCGTCACTACCCCTCCCAACCCCTTAATTCTCCTGAACACCACGGACTTAACTGCGTCATGGACTCGTGAAGGGGCGTACTCATGCTTGCAATTGCGGGTACGATGGGAATTAGAAGGATCAGCAAACTCGAACCCACGAACACACGCAACCAGGGCTAATCTTTTTATTTGAGCTACCCTTATTATCAGTGTAGTACAAGTGCAAAAACCTGATTATCAGTGTTGTCAAAGTTATATTTAATATATCCTGCTTGCTGTAGTTATTGTAGTGTAGTTATCTGATTGTTTGGTTGGTGGTGCACCCGTTTGTTCTTTGCTATATGTTCCCTCAACCTATAGTGAAGCTCAACCATTCTCGCTTACCTTGGCCACAATTCTCTCGATACTCCTTGGCCTAGGTTACTAAGCCTAGGCCTAGCTAAACCCTAGCTACGAGTTACGTTACCGTTCTGACATGGTATTGAGCTAGGTCCGATTAGGACCGTTTTCAAATGGGCCCACCTTTAGCACTCGAAATGGCACGCCCCTTGGTGCGCCTCGTGAGCGCTTTCTTGTTTTCAGCCCGTCGCCCGCGTATTACCAGCAACGCACCCCAACGTGCACGCCAGGAACGCACCAGCGAAAACGCCGGCGGACCCGCCAGAGAGTACACCGACGGACTCGCCAGCAAACCTGCCAACGGACCCGCCGTCGGTTCCGCCAACGAGAGCGCCAGCAAGCCCGCCGACGGACCCGCCAGCAAGCACGCCGACAGACCCGCCAGCAAACCCGCCGCCGCTCTTACCCCCCGTCGGACCCTCGACCCGGCGCTGCCTTCCTCGTCGCCCTTTCCCGTCACGCTGCCTCGTCGCGACTCCGTGGCACGGAAACATCGACGGTCGCAGTGGGGGGGGGGGGGGGGGGGGGGGGGGGGGGGGGGGGGGGGGGGGAGAGGAGAGGGGAAAGGTGTGGCGGCCGTTGCTTGAGCACCAACACCAGCCCACGTTTCGTCCCGTCCCGTTCCGTCCCCGCCCGCCCTCCCGTCGACTTCGCAGCTGCTGTGAAGGGAGTGGCGGGAATGGCAGGAGTGGCAGGAGAAGCTACTGCTCCGTCCCCGCCCGCCTCCCGTCGACTTCGCAGCTGCTGTGATGGGAGTGGCGGGAATGGCGAGCGTGGCGGGACTGGCGGGAGAAGCTACTGCTCCGCCACTGCACGCTCCAGATCGTACGCGACCCGCAAGCCCGCCAGCAAGCGACCACGCGGAACCGCCAGCAGTGCCACCGCCAGCAGCGACACCGCCAGCAGAGACCCCGCCAGCAGAGACCCCGCCAGCAGAGACCCTGCCAGAAGGGACCCCGCCAGCAGATACCCCCGCCAGCAGAGACCCCGCCAGCAGAGACCCCCACCAGCAGAGACCCCCGCCAGCAGAGACCCCCGCCAGCAGAGACCCCGCCAGCAGAGACCCCGCCAGCAGAGACCCCGCCAGCAGAGACCCCCGCCAGCAGAGACCCCGCCAGCAGAGACCCCGCCAGCAGAGACCCCCGCCAGCAGAGACCCCGCCAGCAGAGACCCCGCCAGCAGCTACACCGCCAGCAGAGACCCCACCAGCAGCTACACCGCCAGCAGCGACCCCGCTGCAGGGACTACCGTGGGTGGGGCAGGGGTGTGGAGGAAGGAGGGGGGGGGGGGGGGGGGGGGGGGGGGGGGTGCGGTCCAAGGGGGCGGCTGTTATGGGGGGTGAGGTTAAGGGGGGGTGGTTGAATGAGTGTGGGGATTTGGGGGTTACTAAGAGGGGTTTCGCCATGCTTGGCTCCCCCCCACCTCCTCTCCTCGTCACTCTCTCACCTCCCCCCTTTGTAAAAGGGGGTTACTACGAGGGTTTCGCCACGGGTGGCTCCCCCTCAACTCCTCGCCTCATCCCTCTCTCACCTCCTCCTTGGTACTTCTCCCCTCTCCTCTCCTCTCTCCCTCTCGCCTCCTCCTCCTCATTTAACTCTCTGCCGTCATCCACTGCGCCAGGTGTACCCCTTCAGGGGGTGTTGACTGCACTAGTTATTACTGCAAGCAGGCTAACGGGGTGTGTCAAAGTTATATTTAATATATCCTGCTTGCTGTAGTTACTGTAGTGTAGTTATCTGATTGTTTGGTTGGTGGTGCACCCGTTTGTTCTTTGCTATATGTTCCCTCAACCTATAGTGAAGCTCAACCATTCTCGCTTACTTTGGCCACAATTCTCTCGATACTCCTTGGCCTAGGTTACTAAGCCTAGGCCTAGCTAAACCCTAGCTACGAGTTACGTTACCGTTCTGACAAGTGTTACCCCTTGTAAAAACCCTGATGCATCAGGGTTTAGGCTGTTTTTGTAAAATCTACCCTGTCGCATCAGTGTTCGTAAATGACAAACCCTGGTGAATTGTTTTTAACGTTGCACTCGATACAAATTTTTTTAATCATCATCAGATATGCCACAAATGGGGGGGTGGGGGAACTGGGGGGCGGTTTCGGTTTCGCCAGTTGGCAATCGGGATTCGGGAATCCCGGGTTACGGGAAAGGGGGGGTGGGGGAACTGGGGGGCAGGGGGGGTATGGATCTCAATTCAGGGTAAAACTCATTATGGAAATCGGGAACCCTTAGTCATCAGTGTGCCTTAAATTTAAACCCTGGCACATCAGGAAAATCTTGACTCCTAAAAAAATTACCCGGGACCATCAGTGTGACTACCAAAAACCACCCTGATTATCAGGGTATCAGGGTGATTTACACTGATAAAATTAGCCCTGCACGCAACCATGATGAACATGTGACAAAAACATTGTATACAAGGATAAGACGTGATGCAAATATTGTCAGAGGTCCACTGGTGATCCCCGATTGATCCTAGGGAAGGGTTACAGGCTTGTTGTCCTGGGGGTTTATGGGCGCACTGAACCGCTACTTAACAAGCCCTTTTATCCCAATGGTCTAGTGGTTGGGATTTTGACATGGTATCAGAGTGAAGGTCTCGGGTTCGAATTTCAGTGTGTGCACTTCGGGCATCCCAGTGCGGGGGGGTGTCAGAGGTCCACTGGTGATCCCCGATTGATCCTAGGGAAAGGTTACAGGCTCGTTTTCCTGGGGGGTTATGGGCGCACTGACCCGCTACTTAACAAGCCCTTTTGTCCCAATGGTCTAGTGGTTGGGATTCCGACAAATATGTGTTAAGATAAGAACCTAGGAGATTAGGAGCTTGGAGGGAGACTAGCATAGCGAGATGGATATCGAGGGAGTTTGGGTTGGCCAAAGAGATGTTTCACTATAGGAAAACAGAAACATATAGGAGAAAGGGGGGAAGGTGCACCACCAACACAACAAGTATATAACTACACTAGGAGCTACTGTAGGCAGGTATATAAATGCATACAAATACATTTCAACACACCCCCTAGCTGCCTACAGTGAGAACCATGTGCAGCAACACCCCCTGAAGGGGTGCACGACGGGTAGAGAGAGAGAGAGAGGAGAGGAGGAGGTGGGCGGCTACTGAAGCTGCTGGCACACTGGCAACTGGAGCAACTGGCTCACGGGCTACTGGGGTAACGGGCTCGTACACCTGGAGCATCCCGCTCTTACGGCTAGAGCAACTGACCCACTGGCGACTGGAGAAACAGGCTCACTGGCGACTTGCGCTGCTGGCTTCACGGCGGCCACCCCCCTCTAACCTCTCCAACCTCCCCCCCCCTAAACCACCCCCTTACAACGTCGGAGACAACTGGAGCAAGGAGAAAACAAGGAGGAAGAAGCTGGAAATGGAGAGGAGAGAGGAGGAGGAGAGGAAGTGCAGCGGAAGGAGGAGGAGAAGGGGGAGGCGGCTGCCACAAACCCGCCACCCCCACACCCTCTTCCCCCCCCCCCCCCCCCCAAACGCGGCACGAACTGCAGGTGCACGGGCAGCGATGAGGAGGAGGATTAGGGAGGGGTGGGAGGGTTCAAGGGGGCTTAAGCACCCCCGTAGCCGCGGGCGCGAGCCCCGCCACATCCCCCCCGCAACGTCCACCGTAGAAGAGAGCGGCGGCAGGTGCGGAGGCGGGGAGCGGGGTGGCGATGGCGGGGGCGCTGGCGGCCGCTGCTGGCGCTGGCGCTCGCGACCAGCGCTGGCGCATGCCGCTGGCGCTGACGCTGGCGCTGGGGACCGGTGCTGGCGCTGGCGCTCGCGACAGTCGCTGGCGCACGTCGCTGGCGATCGCGCTGGCGTCAGCGACGGTCAGAGGCGCTGCTTCTGGCGTCCGCGACCAGCGACGGGGCGACGTGACAGCGCGCGGGACGGGGCGACCAGCGCGTGGGGCGGGTAGCACGGGGCGTTCAGCGCGGGGCAGGCAACGAACGAGCGCCTCGAGGGGCGCTGCAACGGTCGCCATGGCAACGATGGCAGCCATGGCGAATGAAAAATAAGAAGGTCCTTAGAAGGACCCAGCTCTTAATACCATGTTAAGATGAGAACCTAGGAGGTTAGGAGCTTGGAGGGGGACTAGCATATCGAGATGGATATCGAGGGAGTTTGGGTTGGCCAAAGAGATGTTTCACTATAGGAAAACAGAAACATATAGGAGAAAGGGGGGAAGGTGCACCACCAACACAACAAGTATATAACTACACTATGAGCTACTGTAGGCAGGTATATAAATGCATACAAATACATTTCAACAATATGGTATGCTCCCGGAAACAGATATATAGAACTCACTGTGTTTAAGTAAAAACAGGATGGATTGACTGATATTTAACAAACATGGAGAGCAAACTCATGTTTTCTCAAATAAGTATTGTATGAAGACTTCCAGATTCATAAAGCAATATTTTCTATGTCATGAATGGTAGTTGGACATGTTCAGATTTCTGGAGGAGGGTGCCATCTGGAAGCTCAAATCATTGGCGGTGTGGTCAGCAAAATCTAGGAAGCTGGCGTGGACACATCCATTCAATGATTGCCGCGTGGCAATAATACCCAGATTACCGGACCATGGCCAGCCCCGTGCTGCTGACTCTGGGTGCCCGCATCAATGTGACCCCTGATTTTCGCTGCTTCTGGAATGAATTCCTCCGCTTTTGGGGTGAAGCTCTCCGCTTCAGGCGAAGCCTTCCGCTCGCCGGTTGGGTTTGCGGGGATGGCCCCGCAAAGCACCAGCACGGGGCGGGTGGGGCTGCGTGGGATTTCTCGAGCGTGGGGTGGGGTTGGAAAGGTCTTCCATCATCACACGGCATTCTCAAACCCTACATTCTAGCATCAAAATCCCCCCAGCGGATTCCTGCATCTAATCTCCTTGCGAACAACCACACCAGCCCTACTCTCTATCGTCATCCAACCATGTCTTGGCAATCCTACGTCGATGATCACCTGATGTGTGCCCTTCCGCACGGAGGGTCGTTGAAGGCGGCTGCACTTTATGGTCTGGAGGATGGCAGCTGTTGGGCGCAGAGCGCTGCAATGCCAGCGGTAAGATTATAACCTCGTATGGTTATGGTTCTTATCTCTGCTGACGCGTCAACTAACTTACTACTCCCCCCATTATCAGGTGGCTAAAACGCAGTTCGACGCTATTGTGGACGCGTTCGACAATCCACAGACGCCGCTTGCGTCGAATGGGCTGTTTCTGGGTACAGAAAAGTTCATGATGGTGGCGGGTGACCCTGGCAATGTCATTCGTGGCAGAAACGGCGAAGACAAGGCAAAGGTACTATCTCGTTCTTTCGCGTCCCTATCACCGTCGCAGATTTCGTCGTTAATTGTTTTCCTGAATCGGAGGCCGGTTTGATTGCAGGGCCGGAAAGCCGGTGGCTGCTGCATCAAGAAGACTACCAGTGCTTTAGTCTTCGGCATTTTCGAAGAGCCTGCAACGGCAGGTGACACGAATGTGGTTGTTGAGAACATGGGCGATTACCTAATCGGCCAGGGTTACTAGCCGGCTGTCGGAGTCAACGAATAGGTTCGTGTGGATGCTGCGAACTTCGTGAAGCCAACACGAGATATCTTCGTATTTAGTGAAAGCATTGTTGCTGTTCTGTTACTTGGCACTGAGTATTGGAACTTGTAAGCTAGGAATTCATCACGGCATTCCGTTTAGAAGTTGAATTTAAACCTCCTGATATAGTTCCTTTTAATCTACCGTTGTCCATGGGGAGGGGAGGGGGTAGGCTGAGCGGCGACAGTGTAAAGCAGGCGTTTAGGGTGAACAAACTGGTGGTGGTGTTTCTGGATAAAGTGCTTGAGTAGGCTAAGCAATGCTATCCAGAACTTCACATCACAGCCACTGGCTATGCCCATGTACGGTAGTACTGAGGAGGAGACTGGAGGGAGTTATACGGTACCTCAGTTGGGACGGGAAGTAAGGTTGCAGAACGACTGTTACCGTACATGTGACTTTGAGGACTTGGAGTGAATCCAATTTCCTCCTATGAAAGACTCCCCCCACTTCTCTCCCCCAACTCCACCTACCTTGCATACCCCCCTCACGCTTTTCCCTCTCCCGCCCCCTTCTTTTTCCTCCATAAACAGGGGAGGGTGGGGTGGGGGGATGCTTGGTGAACATACAGTATATTCAGTGCACAGATTAGACATGGTTAGCAGAAAAACTGGCACGGTTTGAATTTGCCTTCCCAAACAGTCCTAGCTTGCTGGGCTGGTGCCAGGCTCTCTCTCAAGATGTAGCAACTGAATCTATATATTGTAACGCGTCATAAGCTGAACTAGAAAGAGGGTTTATATATGCCTGCTTCGGGACTGCGTGTCTGATGCACCCATCCCAGGTCGCAGCTATTTTTACCGCACACTCCGCAGGTAGGTGTCCGCTTGGTGTACGGTACATCAGGTCAGGTGTCTCGGCCACAGACAAATGTGAGTTCTCTCCTGCATGGATCTTGTCAAAACTTGTGGCCAAGGGAAGGTCGTGCAAAGCCGAAGCTGACTGCCAGTTCGGGCTGTCATCAGGGAAGGATGGCCACAACATATTTCTCTTGGGTTGGAGGGGGGGACGATGACGCACGGCACAGAACTTCGCATACATCTCGTCTGGTGTGCAGTCGTTCCTGTGATGTGCAGGGCTTCCTTCATTCGCACATCGCCCCGGGGCACTGGGGCAATGGATGTATGGAGTTTTGGCCAACCACACTCACCCACCCAGATGACCGAGACACCTCCCCCGACTAGGTGAAGCCCCAGGTGGGGAGGAACTGATGAGGAGGCGATTTCTCGCGACTCGTAGAATGTGAGACGCCGCGCGGGGGGAGCAATTCCAAATTCCAACACAAACTCCAAGCTATCTTGCACGAGTTATCAGCCCAAGCCTGTGTAGAGCTGAGCTCTGTAAAATACAATTCCAGTGCCAACACGACTGGCATTACCCTACCTAGCGAGGTTTTTTCCTCTGACGCCTGTGCACGTCCGCTTTGCAGCCACATTTTACATATAGCTGTATCAGTTCAGTCGTGCAACAGGCTTCTTTCAACGGTAGTGACGATTCACGTGAAATTCCGCCGTCTCGCGGTAAGGCAGTTCAGGACGGTTCGACAGAGACTCTTCGCCAAGTCAGATTTTACTGATGAAGTGACATCACACGGCAGACTTCCCTCCTGCTATTGCAGTGTCAGCCTGAAGCCCACGTCTACTATTGGTAATCGACGATTGTCGTCCGTTGCGCCTCCCCACCTCGAGAGATCGAGCATCCACGATCCTCGTCGACCTCAGACACCTAGCCAGTCAAACAATCGGTAGTTAAAGCTTGGGGTCTACTCAGTGCCGCGAGCCTCGCTACGCCGCGGACTGACTCTGGCCGTCGAGTCGAGTGCAGGCGAGTCCCGGTGATGGCGCGACTGCTAGGCACTGCCAGCTCCGTTATGGCTGCTACCGTTACTAGGACAATTATTGTTACGCTCGTCGTCCTCCTCCACCTACACGCCGCGTCATCGGTTTCACCAGCGTCGTTTCTGAGTCACGAATCACCTCCGCTCGATACGCCTCGGACGAATTTCTTCTGGCGCTTCCTGCGAAGCTGGCAAGCAGCGCATCATCCGCCGCGATCGGCGGCGAAGCGGCCGTCGCTATGGCTTCAGTACCGACGCCACCTGAGCGGGAATCCCGCCGACGCGAACGTTGACCTCGCGTCATTCACGAAATACCACGGGGATGGCGGGCCGTACTCGCTGACTCCTGGCATCGATTCCACCGACCTCTCCCTTGATGACGTGGCAACGCCCTTCGGACGGCGTCGTCGACTGCGTACGTGACATGGAGGCTTTTCTGCATCCATTACCCTTCACGACCTTCCGATTCCTCCTTCCTCCTTCGCTCCTTTTGTTTTCGTTTTTTCTCTTGCTCCATCGTTCCCTCTCTCCGTCTTCTCTCCCTCCCCCCCTTCTCACTCTCTCTCTCTCTCCCCTTCTCGTTCTCTCTCCCGCCTCCCTCCTCACGGTTCCCTCCTGTTCCACTGGTCGTGTTCATGATGACAGAAGAGAAGAAGCAGAAGGGACCTTGCACCCCCATCTCGGAAGCCAAGATCATCCCCGTTTCAATCCCGTCCGACATCGACAAGCGGCTACAGTACCCCAATTCCGTCACCGTCATTCTCGAGGTCACCCGCGACCTCACCCTTCCCAAGGGGCTCGTTTTTAACGGCGCCTTTCGCTGCACAATTTTCCGGTCAGCCCAGGGGAAGCGAAACTTTAAAGTGGCTCTAATGGGAGACAAAGAGCCGGTGATTCGAGTTTGGAACACCAGCAACGTGGTTATCCTGAAGCTGGACTTTTGGCTCGGCGTGACAGCGCGGTCGGGTGAATGCGAGTTGCTACTAGACACCGATATAGGTAGAGACAACACGTGTCCTACGATCCATATCTGGCGGTCCCATAACGTTCAGGTCGCGAAGGGGAGTTTCTGGGGTCGGATCGACGTGTTTCGTGCCATGGCTACGCGTGTAGACAGTATGAAGGGTACCGGGTTAACGCTTTTCGCCAAGTCGCCAGGAGTTATTCGCGTAGCGTTTTCAGGTTACGGCCCTGCGCTGCTGAAAGCCTGGGTTTCGCTGACCAATAACGAGTTGTACGGTGTAGACCAGCCGATTGTGCTTCAAAACGGCGCGGTGGGGGTTATAGCGAGGAACAATTACATCCACGACTTCCTATTCGCGGGGATTCGGTGCGGAGCTGACGTGTACAACCAGGGAGACTGCATGCTGACGACGCTCAGTAACAACCTGATCGTCGCGTCGGGTCGGAACATGTCGGGCGATCACGATGCGGCTGGAATTTACTACTGCACGCACTTTTTCAACCCAGGTGAGAAAGATACGCCTCCGTGTGGTGTGGGTTAGCTGGTGTGGCTAAAGTTTGGGGTATCTCACAATAGCTGTTTTGCGTACCACAGCATTTGCACCGCTGTCATTGGGGCTATGCCCAGCCTTAGCTGATTTGAGTTCGCCCTATTGCCTCTTCTCTCACTCCTCAGTGGTCTCTTATCTCGCTGCTCTCGTTCCTGGCTTCTCGCCCCAGGGAACATCGCGGAGTGCAACTACATTTTTAATGGCGACCACTGCTATTATCTCGACTACGCCACTTCGGGGGTGATTATCCGCGGTGGCGCGTGCATCAACACGTACGACGGCATGAAAGTCAACAACGGCCACTGGTAAGCGGCCGTTTAACTACCCCGGTAATGCCTTATCCCTTGTATTAGGCTTCCTCATATCGTGCCACTGCCAGAAACGCCGCGGATCACGCTTAGGGCACACGCTCTCAGGGCTTACGACGTTTCTCTGCTGTGTGTGCTATCCCATCCCAGGAATGTGATTGAGGATGTGATTTTGAAGGGCACGATAGGCATTCCGGGATGGTGCCAGTGCCTAACGCCCACTCTCAACAACTGCGCCAAGAAGCCTGGCACTTACTGGGAGGAGATGCGGATTAAGTACTACAACTCGCCTGTCATCAACCAGGTGCGTGCACATCCCTGCTCTGACGTGTCTCTTTGTTGCTTTGTTCATGTTTGCCTAATCGTTTGCGCACTGTCGCTCCACGTTTTCTGCCATGTGTTTGCTGTAATAGTCACTGTAGGTCTGTGTTTCTTGCCCTGTTCATCTCTTACACGGTACACCAACAAAGCTTATCAGACATCCATTATATTTATTTATTCCCATTTCCCCTCTATCCCCTCTCCCCTTCTACCACTCACGCTTCTTCTGCTGTCTAATTCGAATTAATGGACAAGCAGAAGTGGCCGTGGTTCAAATCAATCTGTGAGGCAAGGACTGTGAAAGGAAAGAAGTGCAACACCAACGAAAGGGGTACACTGACCGGCGCTCAAACTGGGCACTGCAGCGGCCTTCCTACCCACAACACTGTCAATTTGGTTGCTGTTAACACCTCCGACTATGAAATGGGCTATCGATACTGCGAGAAGCTCCCTACCGTGCCGGAGGGAAAGTTCAACGACCACAGCATTGTGAGGATTCAACGGCCAAGACGAGCAGCCTTCATCGACTACCGAAAGAATGATTTGGGCATCGCCTCCAAGGACTCCGTAATATACAAGAAATACCCCAAGTTCAAGAGCTGCCCACGGTCTGAAGTGGGGCCTAAGCGCGTGCCTGACTCGTTCTACTACAATACGTACAACCGGCCCATGCCATGGGGCTTCATGGCGGTTATTAAAATGGGGAAACTGCACATCCATGACCTTCCAGGTTGGCCTTAATGTCATGCTCTGCATGTTTAGGTGTGTATCAGATTTGTGTATATTTAAATCCTCGCATAATCGCCAAAATCAAGTGAACCGAACTTGTGTCGAACCTGCTAACCCCACCACAAGATCAGAAGTGGAGTTCACGATTTGAGACTGCGTTTTCCCACCTGAGCAAATCTCCGTGCGGGTCGATTCGAAGTATAGATATCACCTGCGCTGCGGATGCAGGCAAAGATTACACCTTCGACATCTCACCTATTTTCGGTTGTGCGACTTTATACGATTGTAGAGCACCGGAAAACACGAGAGAATGTTTTGTGCCTCTCACGCTTGTGCACGTCAATTCAATGCGGATCAAGGCCAACCAGGAAGGTCATGGATGTGCAGCTTCCCCATTCTAATGTTCGCCATGAAGCCCCATGGCATGGGCCGGTTGTACGAATTGTAGTAGAACGAGTCAGGGACACGTTTAGGTCCCACTTCAGACCGTGGGCAGCTCTTGAACTTGGGGTATTTCTTGTATATTACGGAGTCCTTGGAGGCGATGCCCAAATCATTCTTTCGGTAGTCGATGAAGGCTGCTCGTCTTGGCCGTTGAATCCTCACAATGCTGTGGTCGTTGAACTTCCCAGTCAGCACGGTTGGAAGCCTCTCGCAGTATCTGTAGCCCATTTCATAGTCGGAGGTGTTAACAGCAACCAAATTGACGGTGTTGTGGGTGGGAAGGCCGCTGCAGTGCCCAGTTTGAGCGCCGGTCAGTGTACCCCTTTCGTCGGTGTTGCATTTCATCCCATTCACAGTCCTTGCCTGACAGATTGACTTGAACCATGGCCACTTCTGCTCATCCAGGGATAGAATGGACGGCGAGAAGCAGAGGGAGGAGTGGAAAAGAGGGCGAGTGGGATACTAATAAGGCTGAAATGGTTGTTTCATCTGCCAGTCACCATACAAGATGGACAGGGCAAGAAACACAGAGGTACCGCAACTGCTACTGCAAGCAGATATTAGAAAACGCGGGTTGACAACGTCAGCACAGGGCTGTGCACTCACCTGGTTGATGACAGGCGAGTTGTAGTAGTTAATCCGCATCTCCTCCCAGTAAGTCCCCGGCTTCCTGGCGCAGTTGTTGATAGTGGGCGTGTAACACTGGCACCACCCCGGCATGCCTATCGTGCCCTTCAAAATCACATCCTCAATCACATTCCTGGGACGGGAAAACATACAGATCCGCCGGAAAAATATCGTGAGCCCTGAGAGGTTGTTTCATGAGCGTGTTTCTCGGCGCTTCTAGCAGTCGCAAGATAAGACGAAGCATGGTACACGGGAACGAAGCAATTCGCGCAGTTCATGGCGGCTTACCAGTGGCCGTTGTTGACTTTCATGCCGTCGTAAGTGTTGATGCACGCGCCACCGCGGATAATCACCCCCGAAGTGGCGTAGTCGAGATAATAGCAGTGGTCGCCATTGAAGATGTAGTTACACTCCGCGATGTTCCCTGTGACGAGAAGCCAGGAACGAGAGCAGCGAGAGAAGAGACCCCTGAGGAACGAGAGAAGAGGCACAGCCCCACTAACAGCGGTGCAACTGCTGTGCTACGCACAACACAAACCTTAGCCACAACACAAACCTTAGCCAGCGGTGCAAATATTGTGAGCTAACCCAAACCTTAGCCACACCACACGGAAGCGTATCTATCTCACCTGGGTTGAAAAAGTGCGTGCAGTAGTAGATCCCAGCCGCGTCGTGATCGCCCGACATGTTCCGCCCGGACGCGACGATCAGGTTGTTGCTGAGAGTCGTCAGCATGCAATCCCCCTGGTTGTACACGTCAGCTCCGCACCGAATCCCCGCGAATAAAAAGTCGTGGATGTAATTGTTCCTCGCTATAACCCCCACCGCGCCGTTTTGAAGCACTATCGGCTGGTCTACACCGTACAACTCGTTATTGGTCAGCGACACCCAGGATTTCAGCAGCGCAGGGCCGTAACCTGAAAACGCTACGCGAATAACTCCTGGCGACTTGGCGAAAAGCGTTAACCCGGTACCCTTCATACTGTCTACACGCGTAGCCATGGCACGAAACACGTCGATCCGACCCCAGAAGCTCCCCTTCGCGACCTGAACGTTATGGGACCGCCAGATATGGATCGTAGGACACGTGTTGCCTCTGCCTATATCGGTGTCCAATAGCAACTCGCATTCACCCGACCGCGCTGTCACGCCGAGCCAAAAGTCCACCTTCAGGATAACCACGTTGCTGGTGTTCCACACGCGAATCACCGGCTCCTTGTCTCCCATTAGAGACACCTTGAAGTTTCGCTTCCCCTGGGCTGACCGGAAAATTGTGCAGCGGTAGGCGCCGGAGAAAACGAGGCCCTTGGGAAGGACAAGGTCACGGGTAACCTCGAGAATGACAGTGACGGAATTGGGGTACTGTAGCCGCTTGTCGATGTCGGACGGGCTTGAAACGGGGATAACTTTTGCTTCCGAGAGCGGGGTGCAAGGTCCCTTCTGCTTCTTCTCTTCTGTCAAATGAAGGGGTCAGTGGAACGGAAGGGGACCGCCGTGAGGAGGGAGCCGGACAGAGTGAGAGAGAGAGAGAAAGGAGAAAATACTATATGACCGGGGAAGGGAAAAGGAGGGCCACACAAAGAACGAAGGAACGAGGCGGGAGAGACGGGTAGTAAATGCGTGTAGGACTACATTCCACGTACGCAGTCGGCGACGCCGTCCGAAAGGGGTTTCCACGTCATCGAGCGAGTGGTCGGAGGAATCGATCCCAGGTGTCAGCGAGTACGGCCCGCCGTCCCCGTGGTATTTCGTGAATGACGCGAGGTCAACGTTCGCGTCGGCGGGATTTCCGCTCAGGTGGCGTCGGTACTGAAGCCATAGCGACGGCCGCTTCGCCGCCGATCGCGGCGGATGATGCGCTGCTTGCCAGCTTCGTAGGAAGAGCCAGAAGAGATTCGTCCGAGGAGGAGAGGGCGGAGGAGGTTCCTGACTCAGAGAAGACGCTGGTGATACCGACGACGCGGCGTGGAGGTGGAGGAGGACGACAAGCATAAGAACACTCATCCTAGTTGTTGCAACCATGGCTGAGTCGCGGCATCCTAGTCTGGCCATCACCTGGACTCGACGGCTCGACTCGACAGCCAGAGTCCGTTCGTGGCGAGAGGGCTCGCTGCAATCGAGCGGGCACCAAGCTTCGACTACGACGTCCCTGCCTAACCAGGTGCTTGATTGGGGTGGATGAGGAGCGTCCGAGGTGAATCGCGGAAGATTTCTGACGCGTTAGGAATTTTGCTTCTTTGCGTCGTAGGAAACCTGAGAGCAGTTGAGGACAATCTTCGAGACATAGAAGGAAACATCATTGGTACAGTTGACGGAAGCCTTGGGGCTTGGTTTGGTTTCGAGTCATGATTCATGAATGTGTACCCGAACCGACGTCCACAAGCGTCAGAGGCACAAAACATTATCTCGTGTTTTCTGGTGCTCTACAATCGTACGAGTCGCACAAGAGAAAATATGGATTGTTGTGTGTTTGACAAGTTTGGTGATAATCGTGTCAAATGCAAGTGCGCGGAGATTCCTCTCGCCAAACACAGAAATTCAGGTAAAAGTTCAAGTTACGTTATCTGCGATTCGGTCTAGATACCTGCTCCCGGTTCCCCTGAGGTGTGAATTCCGCGCAGGACGCTCAAGTTGGAAATCGAGTTCCGAAACCACCTGCGATTCGTTCGTCAGCACACTCAGACGAGGTTTTGGCTGCTGCGAAGATTGGGCCGCGATAGGTGGGTGTCCGTCTCTCCTGCAATCAACCCCACGCCTAGCTTCGCCTGTCCCGTCGCAGCTAACCTATGCAATCGCGAATTTCGCTCAGCTAATCAAATTTGTCGTGCGTCTCCCTCCACCTTCCCTCGCATTCGCATTCTCGCCTCCAATTCGCCTCCC